GATGGCCTCTGAATTGGGGTGTCTTACGGGTTCGTCACGGTCCGGAAAGCTCGAGGTTTGTCGGTGCCTGCAGTGAAGAAGGGTTTAGGGTTTAGGGGTTTAGGGTTTTGGGTTTTGGGCTTGGGGTTTAGGGCTTGTTCGACTACGATGGCCTCCGGGCAAGTACAGCTCTGGCTTTGCTCTGCTGGGGGTTCGGAGGGCAAGGGTCCCATGATCTTTAGAGGGTCTAAAAACCCTTACACAGGCCACAGAACTGAAGCACACAGACCTCAAAGCCTTAAGAACATGTAAGAGGTTCTGATCGGCAGAAGTCTTGGGTTCATCGACAGCTGACAGAGCTACACCATGCCTGCAATTCCCCAGCCTGCCTTCCGGCAGGGTTTACGAAAAAACCCTAACTCCTAAACCATTTTAGGGCTTCGGGTTTTAAGGCTTTTTTGGCCCTTGCATGTAGAAGTAAACCTTCTGTCCTCTCCGAGCAGGACATCGATGCCCGAACCAGCGACAAGCTTGAGCACCTGCAAGGTTCGGGGGTCTACTTTTCCCCAAAGTATATCATATAGTGCTACAATCTTAGTTCGGGTATAGGGTTTAGGGGGTTAACTGTCTAAAAGGGTCCATATGTATACTACTAATAAGTCAAGGTTCAAGTCTTTCTTTCTGAATCGCCTGGCTTAGGATGTGGAGTGGGTGTGCAGAATTTCCAGTGCTCTGCTCCTCGAGAGGCGGGATGCCGTCTAATCCTCAAACCCGACACACCCCCAAGACTCCCAGATCCTCTGCATCCCCAGCTCCTCCAGAGGTCCTAAACCAAAACCCCTACTTAACAGCTCCCTCCAAAACCTTAAAGCCCTAAAACCCCTAAACCTCAAAACCTTAAGGCCCTAAAAAGCCCTAAAACCCTAAACCCCCAAACCCATATACTATACTATAAAAACTATATCAGACTGTACCAACTTCCTTTATATACTTTAAGATACTACGGTTGATGACATAAATCCTGCATTACCCATAATCAGGAGTGAATATCCCATAATTCCCACAGTTTCGGGTCCTTAAGGTAATTTAGACTATATCAACTTCATATACTTTAAGATACTGCGGAAACCCGGGGCCTCCGCCTCCGCCGCCGACGCCGCGGCTCCTGGCCCGGGTCTGAGCGTTTCCGCGGCGAAGCGCCGGGGCTCCGGAGACGGCGGAAGCGAAAGCAGCGCCTGGGCGCAGTCCGGGGACCCTTATAGTTTTAATACAATATCCCTAAGCCCTAAACCCTAAACCCTGAACCCTGATAGTTTTAATACAATATATCAGAATATTAATATGTTACAGTATATATCTAGCAGATCTATTTTATATTGTAGTATGTTAATTGCAGTATATTATTTATGATAGTATAATAGAACATATTATAGTTATAGTATGATATACTATACCTTAGTATATGATTAGTATATGTACAGGACAAGGTTTAGGATTTCGGATTGAGGGTCTAGGGTTTCGGGTTTTGCGGTTTAGGGTTTAGGGCTTGTCAGGTTGTGACCGGGCTTTGCGAAGGTTTTCTGGAAAGGAGGGCTGTTGGGAGGTCTCAGGAGGGGTCTCATGGGGCTTTCTATCCGGGTTTTGTAGGGTTTAATTGCTTTTTTTTCTGGGTTCTTGTACGGACTTTGTCAAGTTTTCTCCGTAGGGCTTTGTTGGTACCGATCTTATGGGGCGTTGCGGTTCGGGGTCTGGGCCTTGACGGCTTACAGGTTGTTTATGCGTTTTTAGGGTATTATAGGGTTTAGGCTTAGGGTTTAGGGTTTAGGGTGTTGGTGGCTTCGGGGTTCAAGGCTGTTGGGGAGCTCAAGGATTTTGGGGTTTGAGAGCTTAGGGCTGTAGGGCTTGCATGTATGAGCGCAGATTTACCACCGAATATTCTGGAAGTTCCAAGGGGATTGGAGGTGAAAAAGCTGCGACAGCAGACCCCGAAAATCGAGTGTAGGGGAATGATTGAAACATGGACTTGGGGTATATTGCGTGTAAGCTTCTCGAGACTATAAGGGAATAAAACTACCAACTATGCAGAGCCGACAGACCCGTCTAAAATAATGGAACATTTGGGCTTGTAGAAGTACAGTGTTCGGCTAGGGGTGTATCGGATGTAGCTCCTAAGTTACAGTACTGCATAATTTAATCTGCGGCTTGATAGAACCGCTTGTTTCAACACCATAGCAAGAAGAGTCTACTTCAATCCTTTATTTGGGAAGGGGGGTTGGGGTAGTCCCGCAGGGATCTGCAAGTGATGCGCGAGGGCGCTGAGGGCCCCAAGAAACGGAAACCTCAACCTCAGAAAAAAGATACAGTTTAGGGCTTATAGGGTTTAGGGTCTAGGGTTTAGGGTTGCTGAGAAAAAAGATACAACAAGAACTGCCAGGCAGGCCTCTATCTGCTCCAGCACCTGCTCCGGCGTGCGAATCAGGTCTTCGTAGCCTCATGGAGGGAGTTTGGAAATTTGGGCAAGCTTACGAGGCCGGTTTAGATAACAGAGACACTTTGCAACCCTCTGCGGGCTTTCATTTAACAAAACTCGCAGGAAGGGTTGCAGGCTTGGGCGAGGTTACATTCTAGCTAGCACCTACTGCAGCGAAGGTATCTTGTGACGATTTAGGGTTTATTTAGAGTTTAGGGTTTAGGGGTCGATTGCATCGAAGCATGGCCACGCATTCCTAAGGTAGGGTCTCTCGTCACCTGCGGTCGAAACAAGCAAGGCCCGTCAGCCCTCTAAAGAATCAGCCGCAGGGTTCAGCAAATTCATTCCTGAAGGGTTTAGGGTTCAGCATAGCTCTTGGTTTGGTTCGCACTCCTCAGTCTTCAATCACTCGGCAAGTCCGCAAGTTCATACTCAGGGAGACTATCAGGCCTAAACCCTAAACCCTAAACCCTGCTGCCGCCTTCGAAGAGGATTGCACGGTTGCTCTCGGAGCTTCGGCATTTCTCTTCCGGGAAGCTTCTGCCCGCGAGTCGCTCCAAGGTTGTGCTCTAGACTCCCTAAACCCTAAACCGGTTTAGGGTTTAGGGTTTAGGGTTTTCTAGAAACAAAGACACAACCGCAGGCCCAGAGAGCCCCAAGCATCCCTAAACACGAAATCCCCCCCAAATCCCCACTATGCCCTAGACCCGAAACCCTCACATCTTGTCGAACATCTCATCCCCCGAGCCCCCGGCAGCCCAAAATCCTGCACGTGCGATTTCGGGTTTAGGATTTTAGGGTTTAGGGTATAGGGTTCAGGGTTTAGGGTTTAGGGTCCTAAACCTTCAACCCCCAATCCCACCTCCTACAACAGAAACCCAAAACCCTCTACCCAAATAGATCTCTCAAGCCAAAAACCTTTCAAAGCCGTTCCAGAACCATACGCTTGCTCCCAAGACACGAAAGAGAGTTGCGGCAAACCAGGAACCCAGAATCAAGACCCTAGATATTAGAATCCTGAATACAGGTTCTCTTTATATATCACCCTGGAGGAACCCCGAAAGAACCTCAAAGCCTAAACCTCAAACCCCTAAACCCTTAAACCCTTACTCCCTGAACCCGAAACCCTAAACTCCAAACCCTAAATCCTGAATGACCCCTAAGCCCTAAACCCTAAACCCCACACCCTAAACCCCAAACCCGAAACTTCAAACCCGAAGCCCTGAATACACCGTTCCCCCAGGTCCCAAGCGCAACTCCAGGCCGCCGGCCCCCGATTCAAGGCCCTTCCGAGCCGCCTGGACCTCACCCATCTAGAGCTTTAGGATTTAGGGTTTAGGGTTTAGGGTTTAGGGCTTAGGGTTTAGGGTTTGGGGTTTAGGGTTTAGGGTTTAGACTTTAGAATTGAGGGTTTAGGGTTTGGAGTATTCGGCTTTTGGGGTTTAGGGTTGAGGGTTCAGGGTCGAGGGTCTAGGGTTTGGGGTTGAGGGCTTAGGGTTAAGGGCTTTTAGGCGTGATCATGGGACTTAGGAAGTAAAGTTCCTTCAAAGGGTTCCTTAACGGGCCCTCTTGAGGGGGGTATTGGACCTTAAATTATTACCCTAGCTACTAAGTCCCATGATCCTTTAAGCACTCATAGCGCTTGAAGACGTTCAGGTCTCGGTTTTCCGGGTTCTGGTTTGGAGCTTAGGGCTTCGGGCGCATGTTGAAGGTTCATTTCAGGATTCCTTGGAATCGAAGTACTTATGACCATGCGATTTAGGGTTTTAGAGTTCAGGGTCTATAAGGCCTTAGGATGACATGACGGTCAACTAGGGCATAGGTCCAAATACCGAAACAGGTCTTGCGGACTCGATAGGGCATGTAGGTGTGAGGCTCCGCAGGATAGTGGCACATTCCTGCACCCAAAATGCCCCAAAGCCCTAAAACCCCTCCCTCGGTCCCTGAAATACCGTCAAAAACCCTAGAACCTAAATTCTGAACTTTAAATAAAACCCCAAACCCCAAAGCCCTGAACCCTAAGCCCTAAGCCATGAAAGGCGGCCCACTCCTCAACAGAAAACTGCAACACGCCTTCTACACTTAACCCTAAACCGTACATACCAAAAACCTAAACCCTACATACCAAAAACCTAAACCCTAAAGCCTAAACCCTAAACCCTACATACTAAAAGCCTATGTAAACCCTAAAGCTAAAAACCCTAGACCGTGCACACTTCAAGGCCTAAATCCCCCGCAACCACCGAAGATTGAGCTGCTCTGGGGCTCATGGCTTTACGGCTGGTGATTTAGGGCTATCAGGGTTTAGGGTTTAGGGTTTAGGGTTTCGGGTTTAGGGTTCAGGGTTGAGGGTTCATAAAAAGCCATAAAAAATAACCTTGCAATGCACGAACCCGATTCAGAAACCTCGGGTCCTTAGGAGTGCTCTCTAGGTGGATCTGAACAGTCTGGGATTGTAGGAGCACGGTTTCTAAATCAGGCTTCTACATGAAAACACTAAACCCCGCCTCAACCTAATCCAACCCACATTCCGGCATCGCCCCAACACGTATCCAGCCAGTGCCATGAAATTGATGCCTCGACCGGCCTGCCCGTACCCCAAGGCGGCATTCCTGAGGAGGATCGCAGATTGTTGGACGGTTGGGGCCGCATCACGGCGGATCCATTGGCGCACTGTGTCTTGGTCGATTGGTGTGGAGACCGGCACTTGGACCACATCAAACGTGAATGTTGGGTTTTTCGTTGCCATCGGTTCCACCTCCGGTGCCACCACCACATGCCAATCAACATAGTTGAGAAGGGTATCGATCGCTGCAGAAGCTGCGCTCACACCCATCACACGGCGTTCCACCACACCGCTCATAGCGGCCAGCCACCTCACCTGCGCATCCGCCCCAACATAGCCCCCTACGGTTGATGATATAAATCCTGCACTACCTGAAGGACCCGAAGCTCTGGGAATTGTGGTATATTTCTTATTATGGGTAGTTCAGGATTTATATCCTCAACAGTAGCATAGACATTGTTACTGTTGGGAACCCTTTCGGAAAGTAGGTTGTGTACGGCGCATTGCGAATCCCCACAACCCTCAACCCTAAACTCCCAAACCTCAAACCGCACTAAATCCTAAACTCCCAACCCTGCTTAAACCCTAAACGCTATGCCGACGGTTTAGAGTATTGGGCTTATAGGGTTTAGGGCCTATGCCCTACACGCTCTTGAGTCCTTGAGCGCCCAAGATATCACCCACGGAGGTCCGGACGCTCAGCGCCCATTCCACCAAAGCTCGGGCAAAGTCCCGGCTCTCCGATGGCGCCTCTCGTTGGGCTTTTTGTAGGGTTATTGGCTTTTGGGTTTAGGGTTTAGGGTTGAGGAATTTGTAGGGCTGTAGGGTTTAGGAATTCGGGGTTTCGTAGGGTCTTATAGGTTTTTGCAGTGCTCTGTAAACTCACAGGACATTTGGGGCTTCATAGGGAGTCCTTTAATCAATACTTAAAAATACTATAAGGGCTTCTGCGAACGGAGAAAATGATATGAGCATGAGGTTTCAAGTCTATTGAGGGTTCAGACTTCAGGCGAGTAGGGCTGAGCTTAACAGCGCTTGCATCTGAATCTCGTTCACAAGACCCGAGATCTGCCGCGCGGTCATCTACAGAGTACCACTGTTGATGATATAAATTCTGCAGTACCTTAAGGACCCTAAACTATGGGAACTGTGGCATATGTCTTATTATGGGTGACGCAGGATTTATATCATCAACCGTAGGTCGCTGTAGATTGGTTTGCCGTGGTTTGCTGCTGCGGACAAGGTGCTTCAACGAAGAGGTTCGGCTTCAGGGCTAAATTGAGGTTTAGGGTTTCGGAGCTATGGGTTTAGGGTGTCGGGGTTTCGGGTTTAGGGATTTAGGTTGAGGGCTTCGGGCTCAGGGTTTAAGGTTTTGAAGGCCCAGCGCAAACCAGTGTAGCTTGCGGCGGCTGGCAAACAGTGTCACTTCCGGATGCTGCAGCTCGATTGGTAATACCGGGTTCCCCAGTCTCCCGCTAAGTCTAAGGATGCCTTTGTTCTCGGTATTCAGTTTTAATAAGGCAATAAGGGGGCCGTAACACAAAAGGGCAAAAAGTACGTGAGTGCACTTTACCACTGAAGGAACCTAGTATAAGTTCTGCTTCTGAAACCCTGGGCCTCCAAGTGCGACCGGAACTCGTCACTGACCTGAGGCGGCGAATCTCGAAAAGAGACCTCGCCCCCTTGGGGCTTCAGAGCACAGAGCCCAAAAACTAGTAGCAAGAAGAACCCTTACAGAAACCTGAGCAGCGCTCCTTCATGTGATTTGAGGAATGCCCCGTATTTCCGAGGTACTGGCCTCTGTGGGCAACTAGCCAGAGGAGGTGGGAGGAAGAGCTGTACGAACCCCTACCCCCAGATAGTGCTGCACTTGTAACTTGTACTTCTGCCTAGGCCTCTCAGGGACCCTATAGATCCCTTTAAAGAACCCTATAGATCCCTTTCAGGGCCTCCGGGTCCTTCATTTTTTCAGGTTTTGCACCTGGACATGCAGAGTAAAATGGCAGCCCTTGCCTGGAAACGCTCGGGCAGCAGCGCAGCAAGCTGCCGCCTTAGCATCCAGGGCTCTCAAGGCGAACCACAAACTTGCGCAATTAGAATAGGGTTCGGGGGTAGATTAAAAAATATACTTATAACGCGCCATCATCGCGTTCGCGTGCGCTTAGCACGCTTGCGACAGGATGCGAAAACCCTGGTTTTGGTTATGACAAAAGCCAAAAAGTGCTGGAAATTGCAGAGTTTTTGCACAGGTCTGCGCAGCTCACATGGATGCTCTGCGGGAACGGACGGAGTTTGTCTGGACGTTATCATGGTTGGCACATGGATGCTCTGTGGGACCCGACGGAGTTTATGGGAACGTTATCATAGTTGGCACATGGATGCTCTGCGGGAACGGACGGAGTTTGTCTGGACATTATCATGGTTGGCACATGGATGCTGCGTGGGCACGGACGGAGTTTGTCGGGACGTTATCATGGTTGGCACATGGATGCTGTGTGGGACCCGACGGAGTTTGTGGGAACGTTATCGTGGTTGGCACATGGATGCTCTGCGGGAACGGACGGAGTTTGTCGTGTTTATGTAAAAGAACTGCCGAAAATGCTGCGTATGCCGCATGTTCCGTGGTACCCAAAGCAGTTCTGAGCGGGCCCATGGATGCTCTGTTCGTGGAAAACGCGAAAACACCGCAATTCCCGAGGTATTCGACGTGTTCTTAAGAGGAAGTGTCGAAAAAGCCGCGTATACCACGATTTTCGGCTGTACCCAAAGCAGTTCCAGCGCGCAACGCGATGATGGTGGGTATAATAACGACCCCCCAAAATAGTATAGGTAATTGTTAAGGCCCCTTTAAAGCCTTTAAGCATGGGATGTTCAAGGCTTAGGCGTGTGGGGTTTGGTCAAGGGTTCAGGGCTTAAGGATGATTCAGAGGGCCTACTGTCCCCTAACAAAGACTGTATTATCTTACATCATCGCAAGGCAAAGAGCACTGCTTGATGGTGTGAGATTCGGTCGTGATTAAGAAGTTTCGGGTTTAGGGGAACCCTTGTCCCAGCGGCTGCGTGCAGACGTTCTTGCCCCACGCTTGGCCTTGAATTCGTTCTGCAATGACTGGGCTTAGATCCCCCACCTGCCCAAGTGCTAGGAGCACGAAATCCGACGGCTTGGCGCGTCACCAAGACAGGGTTTAGGGTTTAGGGTTTAGGGTTAGGGTGAGGGTTTAGGGTTACCAAAAAGTCAACGCCTGATTACTAAATCCCATGTTTCGGAGCCTTACACTGGGATCCCGCCAGCACTCAATAATTGGAGGATCCTGGGGCCTAGCAAGTCAGGATATAAGCACCTTTATTGGGGTTATAAGTATATATATATATACATACACTATAAGAGCTACCTAAGTTATAACCCTAATTGCTAAATCCCATTAAACATGTCAGAAGCAACCTTCTGTAGCCCCAGAGCTTGAACTCTAAGTTGCTCAGCGAGACATCTTGACAACGATGGAGTCTAGGATCTAGGGCTTGGTTTTGGGTTTGGGGTTTTTAGGGTTTAGGGTTACAACAAAGGAGATAAGGGTATGGGGTTTATTCTTCAACCTGTTCTGCGGCTTCCTATCCACACCCTCCTAAGTCTTAAGCCTGACAGCCCCAAATTCCCAGTCAGGCCCTCAACTAACACACATATGTAAGGAGACCTAGGCACCGTGAGCCCTAAACCTAAACCCAAATTGGACACCCTAAACCCTGAACCTTTGAATCCGGTGACCCCTAAACCCTTAAAAGATCCTTACAAACCCTAAACCCTAAACCCTTAAACTCCTTACAAACCTTAAACCCTAAACCTTAAACTCCTTACAAACCTTAAACCCTAAATCCTTAAACTCCTTACAAACCTTAAACCCTAAACCCTTGAAGTCATTACAAACCCCAAACCCTCAAGCCAAGCTGCCACTTCCACTCCTCCCGCGCCCCGAACCACGCGCCGCGAGCCGCCGCGCACTTGGCGATCTCGGATTGCAGATTGAGAGCGTCTTCTTGAGGGCTTTTTGTTTAAAGGGTTTAGGGGTTAGGGATTTCGGGGTTTTGGTTAGGAGTTTAGGGTTTAGGGGTTTAGGGGTTTAGGGTTTGTAAGGTTTGGGTGGGACCTTGGGGTTTACGAGCTTGGGGCGCCCAGCGCCTGGAGATTCCCCTTGTGCTCAGGATACATCGGGCCGCTTAAACCCCAAGCCCTAAACCCGAAACCCTAAAAACCCTAAGCCCTAAAAATCTAAACCAAGCTCAAAGCCCTGAGCCCTAAACCCTAAAAACCTCAACCCTAAAAACCTATGTAAGCCCTAAGCCCTAAACCGTTATCATCGGGCTCTGTACACCGACTTGACGGTTGCACCAAGGGCTTTGGGTTTCAAGGGGTCTCGGGGTCCGAAGCCTTTGTTAAACACTGAGCCCTTCAACCCTAGGGTTTAGGGTTGAGGGGTTTGGGGATGTAGGGTTTAGGGGCTTGGGGTTTGGGGGCTTGGGGTTTAGGGTTTCGGGGTTTTAGTCGGGGTTCGGGGTTTACGGTTTAGGGTGTAGGGAAGTTTCAGAGCTGTGGCGAGATGTTGAGTTCTTCCCGATACCAATGCCTTAGCTGACTGCTGTTGTCCTAACTATGTCCTAGGACCTTGATGCAACACTGGGAGCACACTGAAATCCGCCTAGACCTCATTCTGACCCCATCCCTAACCCAGTACCCCTTAACAGAGGACTATTGATCAAATCATTTTGGAAAGTCCGGTGCAACGTCCGGAATACTCCGAATGATATCGGCCCTGATCCTTCAACCAGGCCACCGACCGTGCCACTGCCAGGCCGTCCCGACGAAGGTGCAGGAAGCGGACTCGTGATAGACCAAGGCCTCTTCGAGGGGGCAGTTCTCTAAATAAGGGTCCCTTTTGAGGTCCCCAAAAATAGTACGGCACCCTTACAAAAAAGGACCCGAAAAGGGACCCTAATTTAGACAACTGCCCAACGAAGGTTTGATAGGCATGGCTCGTAATCGAGCCATGGTATGATCTCTACATGGAATCCTGTGTCTCTCCTTGAAGCGGCCCTGCGATCCTTGAAAACAGGTGCAGCTCATGCAAGAGACGCTTTGGGAAGCTAAAATCACGATCTCGGATCTTGTCGACATTACCCTGGACTTCATCACAAATCCAAAACAGCGACACCATAAAGAGCGAGCCTTGGAAAGCTCGGACGCTTCGGGCATTTCGCGCATTGGATGCGCTTTAGCCTTTGGTAGCTAAGCCCAGGAAAGCTCCCTTTATGGTTTGCACCTTCAGTCTGCCTCAACATCCCTGCGCTCCATTCCACTGCCTCAGACTCAGAACGAGGTTTTCGGGAGGTAGTATACAGACATGCCCGAGCCCTTAATGTGGCGGCCCGTTTAGTAATATGGGCCTCTTTAATGCGTTTTTTTTCCTTATTCAAGCCGGGTCCAAAAAAATGACCGGCTCAAATAATGCGTTTTTTTTTTTGGGGGG